TGCCTGTAGTCTTAACCTGTACAATCACAGAGGCAGAAGAAGTTGTGGTAAATCTTGGGGAAGAAAGAAATCCTTGGACAAAATGTTTTCAGGTCCAAATGTAGAGCTGACTGAGGCACAGTTTCTCTGCTTGCAGCAGAGGGAGGTTGCTATACAAAATGTGAGAAGAGCAGAAAACCTGTGGTAGTATTAAAGTGCTCTTGCTATTTGGGGAAACACAAGTAGGAGGTGAGGAGAGAGAAACAAGAGCTCAGTAAGGGCCGAGTTTCTATTTCTGGGGACTCTAGACCTGCCTTTCCAAGCTATGCACTTTGGTACAGCAGTGTTTAAAATCTCTGTGAGACAGGAGTGAACAGGCTGTCTAAGACTGTGCTCCAGGGTTTGGATCTGTATCCCTATTGATTTGTAGGTCTCATTGCACACCCACTGGGGCTGGAGCTCCTACATCAATTGTGTTCACTCCTTTCTGGTACAATCCATCTCCATGCTCCATGGCCAGTGGCACAGCATGAACCAGATGGATAGGGAATAAAAGGGGAGATGAGACTTCTGCATATGAGTGAATTATTACACGTGTTTTTCTTCAAAATGTCCTCCCAGTCATCAGGAATTTAAACTCAGAACTGGTCCCCCTCCCCCTTTTTGTAACATTCCAATTTTACTTTAAAGATAGTTTACCTTGTCTTCATTTCCCATTAAATTCATGCTCTGAGCAGAGCTACTTGTTTTTAGCTGTTGCTTGCTGTCAGAATTAGGTGGCCCATGATTGTGATCATCTTGTTCAGAGTGAATAAGATCTTTAATCTTGACATCTTGGTGATTCTCAGTCTCTCTGTGAACTACAGCATCGTCTTCAGTGGGTCCTTCCCCTTCTGGCTCAGCACTGGTGCTCTCCTGGTCATTGCTCTGGATTCTCTCCTCTTCTTCATAGGCTGCTTCTTTCCAGGTGTTGCCAAGATACTCCTCACCATCAGTATCACCACTGTCATGACCGTCATCATCATCACTACTGTCTGCTGCACCTTGTCCTTTCACCACCGTGTCATGACCACTCTGATAGTTCACTTGAATGTTGTCTTTCCTCTCCTGACTTTGCTGTTTGGCACCCTGATCTTTGTTATGAGGTTTTTCAGAGAGGGGGATTTCTTCTTTGTGGGGCTTCTTGTGGCTGTTCTCTTCTTCCTCTGAGTCCAGTTTCTCACTGTGTCTCTTGGCTGGCTGGACTGGCTGGCTGGAATCTCTCAGGGCTTCATCAGATTGCATGATGTCTTCATCTCTCTCTCTTTTGTATCGGTCACCTCCACTTGTCTGGTGACCTTTGTGCTTTTCCTCTCTGTAATCAGTTTCTTCACCCCATTCCTCATTCTCCTCTTCCACGCTTTCTCCTTCATCCCTTTCACTGTTTTTTTCAGAGAGGCCAACTGCATTTTTGTTGTATTTCCACATGCTGTGCCCAAGCCCTTCCCCTGGATGCTCTGCACTGCCTGGAAGATGTGGGTTGGCCTTGTTGCCATGCTCCTCATGCCTCCTCAGCTGGCCATGCTCAGAGCTGGGCTGTTCTCTGCCACTGCTTCCAGAGGCACTGTCCTGGTTATCAGAGGACAAACCTACTTTGTTGTGCAGTGCAAGGAAATTGATGCTTTTGAGGCTATTTTTCACATGATGCTCACTACCAGTTCTTCCTTGTTTCCTAATGGTCTGAGGCTCATCTCTGTGCACAGAACCTGGTGCTGTCACCTCTGGCTTTAGGTTTTTGTGGCTGGGCAGCAAGTCACCCTTGTCTACATGCCCTGTGTTCTCTTCCTTTGAGGGTTCAGGGTGAGTACCTTCAGTCTTAAATAATAAAAAAGTAAGAACATTAATAAGTAGATTAACAAGCCTTAGGGTTTATTTGAGGTCAATCAGTGTTATTTTTGCCTTGCATTGCCAAGTGTGACACTGGCTTAGTTTTCTTTGTATATGCTGCTTTGGGGCCAGCCCAGAGCATGAAATCCACAGCTGACATCACTTCAATTTCCCAGAAAATCTCTTTTCCTGTCCCTTCTATTATTGCTGAAGCTTCTCAAGTCTGTGCAACTTTCAGATCTCGTAGGAGACAGATGCACATGGGTGTTGTGAGCTCTCAAAATGCTTAACTAGTTATTCAGTATCATAGCTCCAGGCACCTGTAGGCTGCAGTAATAATCACTTAGCTCACGGAAGGGATGTGATGTGTAACTTCCTACACAGATAAGTGGGAGGTCTGGGAGAAGAGGAGCAGTGGGAGAGCACCTTGAAGAAGGTGTCATGGTAGTGATTCCTGAGCAGTGCACTTCTGTTAACTGTTTCATAGGCAATGTAGTCATCTGCTTTGAGTCTGATACATAGAACCATAGAGTGTTTGGGGTTGGAATGGAGCTTAGAGCTCACCCAGCCCCAACCCCTGCCCTGGGCAGGGACACCTCCCACCAGAGCAGGTTGCTCAAGGCTCAGCCA